CTGCATGTTTACTTGCACATTGTCTATTGTTTGTTTGTACATTGTCTTGATGCACTGTTTGCACTTTGTTTTGTTTTTTACACTTGTTTTATAATCGAGAGACTTTCTGTAAGTAAGAATTCCATTGTACCAGTACCGGTCACATATGGCAATAAAGTTCAAGTTCAAGTTCAAGATGGATGTCCACTGCTGTTAGCTGGATGTCGAACAGAGGGATACAGGCACATCCAGAGATAATCCTAAAAGTTACAGGGCATCAATCATCCAACAAGATTATTAATTAATCAGGGACCTGCAGGGTGTGGGTACCCACACTCCACCTGGTAGCTTTTTGACCAACACAAACTGTATTTTTCCCAATTAAAAAGTAATGTATCTCCTCTAACTCTGCCACCCTCCTCTCTGCCGAAGCAACTTGGCTGACTACAGAACCATGTGCCCGGTTGTGTTACAATTTGTCTTTGAAAGTAATCCTGAATACAGCATCGAGAAATCAACTTTCAATAAAAAAACAATTTATTACCATTTTATTTAGCAGTTTTTATAGCTCTAGGAAACTTATGGCCAGAGATGATAAATATACACACTTGTTAACAGAGATGATGATTTTCTCTATTTTTCCAAGCCTAAAGACAAAAAAAGTACATAAAATTAAAGGAATCTGGACTACAATTGCGATTACAATTGCTGTGCTATTTCGTTTTATATTCCAAATGTTGGTATGTAGACATAAAGATTCTAAAGAAAAGAGACACAATGTTTTGGCTGTTTCTTTTCACCGTTTCACATATTGTGTCTCTTTACTTTTCCTTTCAGCTTGGAATAAACCTTTACCTGTTCCTTTGCAGCCTACACACACTGACACAGCTACCTACATGAACTTCTTAAAGAATTATAATGTCTATAAATTAAAATTGAAATCACAGAGATTATTCCATTATGTTTTTCAGCAGCCCAGCCTCATAAATAAACTAGCAGTCAAGACATTAAGTAACTATTGACAGGTTTCACCTTTTTACAGTGCAATGTAGCCTTGTCTTGGCTACTTGGTCAAGCTGTAGCTATTTTGTCTGTTTCAACTGACATCTCCAGTTATTCTTAAGGATGACAACACCTATTAGACAGAAACGGGGCATAAAGCAGGATTTTCTTGTCCTTTAATGGCCCTAAGTGTTAAGATTAACCAATAATAATCTGAACAAGCCACATGTTTTTAGCCTCATAGAGAAATGTCTTGATTATTTGATTATCTCAAAGATTACTCCAAGTGTGTCCTACAATTCTTATATTACAAAAGATATATCAGGAGCTACATACTGTATACTGTATTAGAAAGAGCTTTTTCTATCTTAAACGTCTGAAGCATATTTTGATTTTAATAACAGATTTTGTAATGAATTCCTGTAAATAATGATATAATTATTTTTCTCTCTTTTTCAACAGGAATAACAACTGTGCTTACCATGACAACCATCAGTACCCATCTGAGAGAGACGTTGCCTAAAATCCCATATGTGAAAGCAATTGACATTTATTTGATGGGATGCTTTGTATTTGTATTCCTGGCTCTACTCGAGTATGCTTTTGTCAACTACATATTCTTTGGAAGGGGCCCTCATCTCCAAAAGAAGGCAGCAGAAAAGGCTGCCAAAGCGAACAATGAGAAGGGCAGACTAGAAACCAACAAGGTGCAGGTAGGAACAGATTACAAATTGCTGGCATGGTGCTCAACAGGTGCAGGTAACTGCACATTAGAAATTGCTCAACATAACAATGATGCTCAACATATCTTATTCAGGTTTATTCTGATGATGTCATTGACAGATTTCATTCAGTGATAACAGTATTGAGACAGAGTCATCAAACATAACTCTTTTCGATTTGGACACCACAAGACCCATTTCTTTCAGGAGCCACTTAATCTTCTATCATGATTTTGGAGTGTGGGATGAGTACCCGAATTAAACCCACACAAATCTGGGGAGAACATACAAACTCTACATAGATAGAACCCCAGGAATTGAACCCAGGACTCCATATTATATTACATTATATTGTTAATGATAACCCAAAACCAGCTCCCTAGCACTAGTTATAGTTGTGAACTTGGAACAAATACGCTATATTTAACCCTTCTTTCAACTGACTCAGGGAGGAACTACTGTTATAATTTAGGCTTAATGTACATACTGTATATTGATGAACTAGGGAAATGTACCACATGATTAAATGTCTTCATTGAAAGTCTGAGGCATGGAGTTAGTCCTCTTGGGTCTGTGATAATGTTCTTGAGGTACAAGTGATTCTGGTGGTTGATATTTATTTTTATGTTAATCTTAGACTTTATCTTATAGCAGAGGATTTCAAATACTGATCTTAACACTAGTCTTACCATAGCCTAAACACTAGAGCTTGAGTAGAGCTTCTATAATATGAGTAATATTAAACTTAGTCATAGCCTCTTTAAAGCTTAGTCTCTGCACTGTATTTGCTGTAATTTAATCATATTTGGGGGGAATTATAAAAGCAGTGGCTGAGGCTGAACTAATCCTGATATAATAATCTTCCTACCCTGATGTGGCTTATAACCTGCTTTTGCCTTGCTAACTTCTGATGTAAACATATTTCTTATGCGTTGGGACATCTATGCCGTGCTTTCACCTTATAACTAACCTTTTGGGAAAAATTATCTTATTTTACCCTTTGAACCATTAACCCTATGAGAGAACCAACCTTTTTTTTTTTCCTACAACTATATAGAAAACTCTAACAGTCCTTTTCATGGTCTAAGCTTCCTTCCAGAGTGTTTTGCTTGACTTTAAAATAGAATGATGTAGTTCCATTGTGATTGTGTATTCTGTCTTTAGTTTATAGTTTTGTAATATGGCACCCTCTGCTGATCATTTTTGTTTAATGTTAGACTCACAGCATTACTCTGTGGAGCTGCTTGCCCTTTGACCTTATGGACAGGTTATTATGTTTTGCTGAACACATTGTCAATAGCCAGCATCAATCATACCAAACTGCTACCATCCACTTGGCCCTGCCAGCGAAAGCACCGCCTGCAAATGAAAATGTGTTTATTATTAAATCTTGTTATGTTACATTGCTATATACTGTAGCTATGCTGTATACAGAATAATATTCCATAATTAACTTTTTTAAATTAATGATGCAGACGTAGAATGGTCTTCCAGTCTAGCCTGATGTATGTAGTAATAGCATAGCAAACTTTGTTATAATGCATGGCAAAATATATCTTTTATTACTAAGGTAAAAAATATAATCTGTAAATACTAATCTGTAAAGAATAAGAAATGCAAAGTCTGTATAAATTATAGTATTTATCTTTTATTTAGTTTCACTCCTCTCCTTATTCCATAGTTATATGCTTGATATTTGTTCAGTAAAACACTGAAGCTTGGCACAGGTGTAGCCAGAGCAAATGTCAAAGAAGAAACAGCAAAAGTCTGAGCATCTTTTGCTCATGAACAGATAGTTGCAAAGACAGAGAAAGCCAGGTTAAGGTCACTTTAGATGCACTACAGCTAAAAAAAAGAGGCAGCTGCAGCTTTAGCTCAAGCATAAGTATTTGAGGCAGCAGTAGAACTGGAAGATGAGGAACTTCACAGAAAAACCTGTGACCCAGTAGCATACCAAAGTGTAGCTCAGCACACAGAAGAATATATCCAGAAGCACACTAAGGTGCTAAATAACCCTTAGTCCTTGCAGGAATAGATCCAGTGCATCATAATTTGATTTCATTGTCAACAGCCCAGCATGATGTCACTCATCACTCAACTGATAGCAGTGCCAGTCCATTTAACCACAAAGATCAGCCACAGGCCAGAGAGATGAGGCACGCCAATAGACAGACAAGCAGCACCTTCTAAAGCTCATTCACTGTTCCTGAATGAGGAAGCAGACACATATCACGCCTTCTAGAGATCTGCATGTTAACGCTGAACACTGGTCAGGTTCTGGAACACATCATAGGTACTGGCATCCATTAATGCTGACTCATCTTTCTCATAATCCTACACTAGCATAACAGCATGATGGATTGTGCTTAATTCCAAGCATGTTGTAAGACCGTGAACACAGGTGTCACACAGTTCGATAATAGGCCTGCGAACTATAGTGCATGGCAAATATCTTTTGGCAATGTTATCAAAGGCTTGGACCTTACTGCTAGTGAAGAACTGAATCAGACTGGAAAGATTCTGTGTGTATCAATGACCCCAGAGCACCTCTTACAGTGGCATTGGAGATATTAAAGGAATGGCACTGTGGGCTAGAAGTCATTAAAAGTGTACTGTTCTCAAGGTTGGACATCTTCCTGAGTATCTCCACCAAAGACTATCTCAAGCTAGGAGACTTTGTAGATTTTCACATGAAGTTCACTGAGAAAAAAAAATGCATATTTAGCAGGTCTTGCCTATCTGTATACTGCAAGTGGCATCCGTCCCATAATGGAAAAGCAACCACACTCCAGGAGAAATGAATTTCATAAGGAACGAAGTTCAAAGAGGAGGCTGGCATTTTCTTCTCTCTATTTTCCTTCTTTAAAGAGTTTATCTGCCAACCAGCTGGAACCCTTCTCGAGCTGAAAGACCTGTTATGAGGAATGTCAACGTAAGAAAGTTGATATCCATTCACAACACAGATGCTGCTGTGTCCACAACACAGATGTTGCTAAAAGACAACAGATTGTGCTTTGGAAGCTGCATCTTACATTGCAAAGACCAACAAAAGCCATTGCATCGCCCTGCATCCTGGTCCTGCATTCTGTACCTCAAAAGCCTCCACTTTTGCATCAGAGCATGGCAGGAAGAAAACCAAAAAATTATAACTGCAATCAGCTCCCAATGTACTGATGTATGTGGGTCTAGCAGCAAGATCTTGTTCCACATTTTGCCTGGTGCGAGTTTACCATCAGGGGCGTCATGGAAAATCAGTAAAGATGTACACTGTGCATGATGACCAGAGAAAATTATCATTGGTGAGATTAGAATTCTTAGACATGTTTGGCATTCAAAGAACTTCATCATCTGAGAACCTGTGCTGAATTTGTTGAAATTCCAAGAAGAAAAGCTAATGGTTTCCAGATTGAAAGAGTAAACAAAGGGATTCGCCTAGGCCTTCCTTCTTTAATTGAGTGTATCCGAATTCAAAATACCAGATCCAAAATACAGTACCTACAGTTCTACACCATCCCCATCGGAAGCCTATTGCAGCCCACATTCCAGAATTAGATTCAGATGCAAAAATCCTTCTCTTGCTTTGAAGAGACATAATCCATAAGGTCATGCAACAAATGGTGTCATATAGTTATATTTCGGAATAATATTCTAATCTTAATTTATTGAATGATGCAAAGTTAGGATGGTTTACCAGTCCAGCCTGATGTGTGTAATAATACCCTTTATTTATAAGGTATAAAAAATGTGATCTGTAATAAGTTAAGAATACGAAATGTAAGCTGTGTATAAATGTTAGTAATTAAATTTTATCTTGACATTGTAATTATTGGATGGAAATTGGGTGGCTGTAAAATTGTGGTAGAAAACACAAAGAAAGACAGTGTACTGAAAATAAGAACAATCAGAAGTAGTTTTTATACACCTCTATAAACAGAACAACTTGCTATGACTCATGGAAGGTGAAGTAGATGGTAATTTAAGAGGATTTCTGCTTGTTGCCCCCTTTAAACATGTTTGGATTCTGTAATACAGAAAGGAACCTATTAAAATATTTGCTAAACATACTGTTTTGATGATATTCCTTGTCTTTATTTTAGCATTATTTTTTCATTGTAACTATTGCTTTCAGCACAAAATCACTGATAATGCAAAAATGATTTCTGACAAGCTGAAACACATTATTGGCTCATGTTCCTTTCAATGATAATAGGTCTGCAACATTTATGCTTGTAATGGAAAAATTGTGGATGTTGTTAAAGACACAAGAAACTTGAATTATAATGATTACTAAATTCTTAGCTACACCAACAGATATAAAATTAAATCTACTATATTTTTTCACATTCTGCAAAATGTCTAACTCTAAAAACCAGAGTACACCATTGACTCAGACCCTATGATTCTTGAAGGTAATTTTGTTTCTGGTATGAGCCCTGGTATTTTAGTTGCCTGAAAGCTATCAGGAATCTGCAATGAAAGCAATGTAATTTGGTACAGATGCAGCCATTCAAAGTGCGTGGCACAGACACGTACCGGAGGTAATTGACTACGGCCTCGCACATGATGATGCAAAGTACCGCGGTACGTGATTGGTTGACCGACAGGGGCACTCGTGGTGCGTTCGTCAGTTGTAGAAAGATTTAAATGTCTTTACTGTGCCCGTTTTAGTATTGAATATTCATATGGAATTTTACCACTGAAGGGAAATCTTAGTAGCTGAGCATAAAAAGAATAGGAGCATACTGTAACACGTGTGAAGGCCATAAACGATATTAATTTT